AATATAAATATAGTCAGTTCAAGTAGCAATTTTAAAGTTAGTTACTTACTTATTCCAAAGTTGTAGGTTAATGTTATCAAATGTGTATTGTGGTGTTTGGATGCTTTCCTTTTGGAATAATATGAGTGAATCAGAACATCAGATCTCTCTAGTAGCTTAAACATATCCTAAAAAACATAACCTAAAAGCAGAGGCTAATTTTTCTGGTGGTGTGTGCATGTCTAGCAACATGGAAATTATATTTAACAGACCATCTGACAGGTAGAGATAGAACTGTATGAAGTGTTTGTGCACTTCTACAAAGAAGACAGCACTGAGGAACTGTCTTGCTCAGGAAAACTAAAAGAAATAGAATAGACATTCTCAAGCAGTGTAAAAAATAAATAAATGAAGAATAAACTACTACTAAGATACTGCATTAAAATATTTTCCATCTATATGTCCAAGAAAACTGGCTCCATTAATGACCATCCATGTACAAAACGGAACAGTTCTTTGTACATCATTTTGCTCAAGTATTAAGTGCTCAAGATGTTAAGAGCTACTGGAGAAAAAGTGGACATCGAATTTACCCTTGTTATAAGCGAATGTGGAAGGATGCTAGGCTAGTCTGGAGGAGCCATAAAACCACAATGCATTGGGGTCAAATGCCTGATGGTGGCCTGGGTATTTTTAATTTCAGGTAGGTCAGCATCCCCTCTAGTTTATATTATTGTTGTTCCAGTGACCCAAGTGGAGCTGCAGAAGCATGCATCACCTGAAAGCCCAGACCTGTGTAATGACGTTGGAAATCCTCAATGAAAGGACTCAAATGCCAGCTCCTTGGTGGCATTCTGTGTTCACAGACCCACATCCTGCTCTGTCAGTGTGCCAGGGAGCTGCAGCAGTGGGCTGCTCCTTGGGGACCGTGCTGCCACCAGCAAGGGCACAGCCCACAGTGCACACGGTGAGTGGGGCAGGGGTGGCAGCAGAGACTGGGCACAGCCATGGCCCAGCTGTCATACTCACACCGCTCTTCTCCCAAGAGCTGGTCCATGGCTGGCAACATCACAGAGCTGGCCAGGGCTACTGGCAGCCAGATTCCTCAGTGGAGAGAGAAGACTGCAGAGCAAATCAGCATCCATAGGGGCAAAAGGAGGTGGATACTAATGATGACAAGCCAAAATTTCTCCAACAAAGATTAAATTCTTTTACATTGCTTATCTTATATGATCTGCTGGTCCCCCCTATGCAGGGATCAGAAGCAAACATCAGCTACTGTTGCAAAGTGTTTCAGAACTTTCTGATGGGCCAAGATTCCCTTCTTCTCTTAGCAGCCAAAGGTTTAGTGCTGGAAGTCTGTAGAAGAACCAAGGTGGAGTAAAGGGCTTGTATAGTCCTAAATTGACAGCTCATCATGTTCACATTGGATCTTCTGACCTGCAAGAAAGCTTGTGAACTATTTGTCATTGTCTATTCCTGCTATTATCCCTTGATGAGCATCTATAGTGACATTTTCTAATCTGTTCTACCTCATCTCCCTACTTACTGATTAGTTTACTTCCAAGTGATATGCAGTTAAGTTATTAAGTTATTAAGTTTGAGAAGGGGTCCCATCTTATTTTCCTTCTCCTTAGAGTAATCACCAATATAAAACTTCCAAGATACTCAGTTCTCCTAAGTTTGTGTTTCATCATTACTAATGACATAAAGTGTTTTTTAGCATTTGCAATCAATATTTTGCTTTTCAAAAATCACCCTGACAAAGGTTAGTTGAAGTATTTGGCAGAGTTAAGGGTACATAAAATGCACTTAGTTAAATACACATATGAATACAACCCTCAGAGGACAGAATCCTTGAAATTACACAGTCCCCAGGGCCTGAACACACTAAAAACAGATGCTTTAGCAAGATGCCATTAACATGCTTATGCTGACATTCCAGCCCACACCTCCCCACAGTGTTGCTTTGCTACCAGCATATGAATTCAGCAAGACTGGAACTGGTAATTTACTCTCCAGCCTGCTCTTGTCTTGCTGGTTTGGCTACAGACCAGCCATGATGCTGGCTCTCCACTAGCTTTTGATAAATTGAGGGTAATAAAAGACATGCATGATGGCAAGCTAAGTGGGAAGACTAGAAGCATCAAAAGAGTTAAAGGTTAAAAAGGTTAAAGCTGTGTGTGGAAAATTAAAGAATTTCATTTCTTTGAAAAAGAAATCTGGGAAACAATTCTACTATCAATACTGAATTGTTTGTTCCTCCAGATTTCATTAGTGCTCATTCAAATTGCACTTCTGCAAACAACTGCAGAAGTCTTCCAGACAAGTGATCCGTCTTCTTGTGCCTCCTGTGGACTTTGCCCATGAGGAAACCATCCTGAACTGCACTAGAAATCTCAGAAAGGTCTGAAACATGTGGGGAGCTGTGTCTGGGCTCGCTGGCATTCCAGCTGTCCTGGCACCCCACTGTCAGCTGGAGAACAGCAGCACCGTGGGGGTGCGTGGGAAGGATTTGGTAGCACAGGAGAAGGGAAAGAGGTTGAGCTGACCTGGATGACTTAGGTGAGAACAAAGTACCCTGCAGGTGGAGAGAGGCTGACCCTTGTAAAACTCTGCCCAGTGCCCTGAGCTCCTTGTTCCTCTTCCTTTTACCTTTGCCCATGCACCAATGAGAATTTATTTCTAGGACTTTAGAAGCAGTATGTTTACAGCAAAACTTTGCCTCCTGGGTAGTGGCTTGAGCACTGTGAGAGCTAAATCTGAAAACAAGAACCACAAGTAAGCAGGTATGAAATTGCTTACAAGACTCTTTTTTATGACTAGAAACACTGTCAGCAGAGTTCTGTTTTGAATTAATTGCTTTTCTTATCCCTTATTGTTTTATGACAGCTGAAATTGCCTGACTGGATGCCAGCACACATGAACTACTAAATGGTTCTTGCATCTTATTTTATGGTCTGACCTCTGTTTTGAAATAAACTGCCTACTAAACAAAATAAGTTCCCTTGATTTTCTGATGACATATATATGTGGATTTTGAGAAAAGGAAGTGAGAGTAGCAGGAAATTCAGAAATCACAGAAGGAAAAATGTTATGGTTATTTTTTCTCCCTCCTGTAATACAGACCTACTGAAATTCCTTCTCTGTCCTGACCTAGTTTGTCTGGGCATGTGGCTATAGTCTAGGAGTCTGTACAAAGCTCCAGGGTGTCACAGTGGATGGTGCTCACACCCTCTCTTCACCTGTTTCTCACATTGCCATCTCAGACGTGCATCCAGATAGGACAGCTGGGGCAGTGGGATGCTCTTGAGTGATCCATGGGCTTTACCATCAGCTGATGAGTCCACAGAAGCTATCTCTTGGTCTTGCACAGTACATCAGGCCTAGAATTCCTTCTGCAGCCTCAGCTCCCCACAGCTCCTGGTGTGCTGCTCCCATGGCTGTGCACACTTGCGCTGAAGGTGCGCTGCTTCAAAAACCAGTTTCTGAGGGTGACAGGGGCTAGATTCTGCATTTGCCATGTTAAGAGTAATTGCCCTTTGTTGCCAGATTTTCTGTCAAGTTGCCCCATAGCTCTTATTACTCAGAGAAAATTTTTCTTGTGTATATTCTCACTTGAGTGCTTGCTGCTGGTTTGGTGGCTGATGCGAGGTTGCTCATGGTACAGAACTATTTGCTCTCAGTGTGCAGTTCAGGGCATCAAATCAGTTTTACTAAAACTCAGTGCACAAAGTCAGGGCTCACCAGCCTTCTGCTCTGAACAACAGGCACATGCATCCTTGCATCCCTCACAGCTGGGTGTCTTGGCCTTTTGCCTTGGGTCCTAGTTCCTTACTCCTTTTATGTGCAATTGGCCATAGAGCTATTTCCTGACTTGGAAAAAGAGAAACTTGGGCCATCATATTTACTGCTCAGCATCTGCTGACCTCCCACAGACAGGAGGAGATCTTTGTGCTGAACTGTATAATTAATAAATAAATACATTTGTGGCAAAAGGATTTTAAAAGAGGGAGTGCCTAAAAAAGCATTTTGAGAGACACTAAATAAAGGTAAGCAGGGACGCTGGAGTCTCACATCTGTTCTGCAAGCTACTCTTAGCCAGTGCACACACGGGCTCCAGCCAGGATCCAGTGAAACCTCGGGGCTTTCTGATCGGTGAAGTTCTCCCTTTGAAGACAAAAATGTCAGGCTGTGTTACTGCAAGCTAGGACATGGCCTCTGGCCTTCCACCTGCTCTCTTCTCCTGTGCCTGTTTGACCCATTCTCCTTCCCATTGATTCTGACCCTGGTGAGGCTGGGTTAGGTTTTTTCCATATAGGTTTAAGAAAAAGGGTGAGTATTTTTGAAAGGTTTAGTCCCTTTGTTCTGCTGTTTGAGCCATTAAAATATGAAAATACTTTCCCTGTGCCTGCTCTCAATTCTGCAGCTGATCTTGTGAGACCCTGCAGCTACCCCGGCTCTGGAGCACGTATGCAGCCAGACCCTGATAGGTTTTGCTCTGTTCTTCCTGTTTCAGAGTCGCAACGCTTTTCCTACCGCAGTCTGGGAACAGCTTTGATTTACAAAAAAATGATTTTGCCTCTGGGCTAGGAAAGCAGGAAAAATACGCGTACCTCCCCGTCGGGGAATCGAACCCCGGTCTCCCGCGTGACAGGCGGGGATACTTACCACTATACTAACGAGGAACTGTACGAAAGGCGCCCCTTCTGTAGTGCTGATATTCTGTTTGGTGGCTCGTAGCTGGCTGAGGGCCAGTTCGGGCCAACCACATTTCTCGGCTTACTCGCCCCACCTCTCTCGCAATGCACTATGGCTCCTGTAGTTCTCGCGCCGCTCGCCCGCCCTCTCCGTGCGGAGTGCGGCACTACACCTCCCAGGAGCCTCCACTGCCCTCCCCACGGCGGGCTCCGTGCTGCCCGCGGTGGCACGGCCGGGCAGGGCAGGGCGGGCAGGCGGCGCGCGAGCGATGGCGGACCCCAGCTCCTTCGCGTCTCCCGCGTGCTGCACCACGCGGCACCTCCACCNTCATCCACCACTCTCCCCCTCATCCTTCCCTCTCCCCCGTCCTCCCCTCCGCCGTCGTCCCGGTGCTTCCTTCCTTCCCTGCCGCCGCTTGGCCCTCCCCGGACCCGCCGCCCCTGCCTGCTGCTGGGCTGGAGCCTGACAGCGCCCCGCAGCCCCCGGTTCCCGCCGAGCCCCTCAGAGCCGGCGCGGTGCGCAAGGGAAGGGCAGGACTGTGTCTCTTCCCTTTAAAACGGCGAAGAGCATGCTGCCGAAAAGATGGGAATAAATCACTGAAAATCTAGATTTTGGGCTTTTTCCCCTGTGTGTTTCGTTACGCCAGCTGCTTTCTCCGTTATCTCTGCAAATAAGCTTGTGAACCTCTTAAACTTCGCATTATAGGCAAAGTTTGGGGGTTGTGGGCTTTTCTCATGCTGACTCCGTAAAATTCTTTGTGGTTGTCGCTTATTTTTTTATGAAAAAAATCCCAGTCCTGTTAGTAATAAAGAGTAACGCCTCGTTCGTGCTAAAAATGGGTACTGCGCTATTTAATTCGTCTTCCATTGCATGAAGGTCTCGATTCGCAGTGGCGTGTTCCAGGATGGAAGCCTTAGCAGAGGCTTTTATACCGTTCTCCTCACTTCATAGCAGTACTGTGGAGTTGTTACCTTTGCCGTTTTTCTTTGTGAACTCACTTCTATGGTTAAGAGTCTGTTTGCTTCCTCTTTCCCCTCCGGCTTTCCCTTTTCAGTGCTTCTCTCTTAAAATGCTGGTTCCTGGTGGTCAACACAGTCAGCTTAGAAAATACTTTTTCTTTCAGAGAGACTTGTGTTTAAGGTTACATAGTGCTGCATTTATTATTACACTATTTGACTGGTATGCAATATGTTCTTTTTCACAGGTCCTGGATACAAGGGACGTACAGGTATTTAAAGTGACTGTAAATGGACAGGATGCACAATTTGCTTTTGGAGAAAAGCACAGTTTCAAGGGGACCCCCCTAGAAATCACATTTCCAAATGAACTAAGAAGGTACACACTTTTGCCTGCTCCTTTAGGTCGTTTTCGAAATGCACTGTATAAGCTGCTTGTTTGCCTGTAGGGTTATTGAGTAAAGCTTGCAAAGGGACTTAGAATTAGGGTATTGCATTCGTTTGGCATGATCTTGTAGGTTAATGTTGTATTTGTCTTCATTAGTCAAAACTTTGAGTATTTGTACCTGTCCCCAGACCTTGTATCATGTACAACATTACTAGCTAAACTGAGTAGCGAAATGATGTGTAATGTATCACAATTTTTTCCAGTGCTTCTCAGCAGTAATATTGTTTCTGCTTTAACTGCCAGGTTAGAATTGTTATAGTGTAGAGCGCATGGAGCTACAGCCCCTGCTGGATATTCTTTTATACAAGGGCTGGTTCTGCATTTCTGTAGAACTTCAGGTTACCACTATGATTAGATAGAAGCATGTTTTCAAGTAATCAAAGTTTTATTTTGTTGACTAGGTTAAGTCCAAGTCCCTGAAAACTGGAACTTGAGTTTTGGCAGCACGATGGAGAGTGAACTAACCATGGTCTACCTCTTAAAGGACATTGCCAAATTACAGTATGCTTTTTGGCAGTTTGCTTTGCATGTTAATGCATGATAACTCAGTGGTATCTCAGTCCTCCGTGGTGCCAAAGCTGAACTTTTTATAAGGAAGTTCTCTTGTTTGAATACAATTGAATATTAAGTTGCTTCTTCTTATTGTTTGGTTTTTAGAACTTGTTGCTACCTTTGAAAACTTTCAGTTTAGTCTGGTTTCCAAGCTTTTTTTTTTTCAGGTTGTACTCTGAATTAGTGCAATTAAAAAACACAAATAATGAGGAAGATAAAGGAATGTTTTAAAATAGCTGTCCCTTCTGGAAAAACACTTCTGCTCTGTTATGAAATTGAATCAATTAAGTACTTAGGCCACTTCAGAAGCATAGGCCTGTTCCTTTTGTTTGACTTTCAGCTGCCTTTTTTTTTTAAGTGCTAAATTTCCTGGTAAGAAAAAAAGAGGGAGGTATGAGTTGTTACCGTAAGAATTCATAATCTTGTGTGAGACAAAGTCCCCCAACTATCAATAAAACAGCAATAGGAAAGAGTGGGAGTTACAACTGAAAGTCTGGTTGTTCAGAAAGCAATGTTGCCTTATGGTAATACCAGTTATTTTCACTTTTCTTGTCTAATATGTACTTTGGAATACTGGTTATAAACCAGATGTTACACCTGGTCAGCTTATCTAGTGTCCAGCTCCTCTGATTAGCTGAAGTCTGTTCTGATTTATGGTTGTATTGTCTATTCCAAGAGTTGCATGCATAATCTGGAGCTTTCTGAGAGCAGAAGGAAGTACTTCCATGTGCTTTGGGTGTCAGTGATGGTTGTGATATGTTTTTAATGAATAAGAGTATGAATGTGTCAAGTTTGCATGTGCTGTCTTGTTAGCAAGCTGATACCTGTCTTACACGTAACTGTTAGTTTTTACTTGACACCAGTCCTGAAACCATGAATAAAATCTGAACATTATTTGTTTTTCTTGTTAACCCTTACTGTTAATAGGAATTTTCTGTAATTACTGATAATTTTCAGGGTTGTTTTTCATTTCTTAAGGGTAATACTTGCAGAAAATTAACAACACATGCAAAATCTAATTTTTTTATCTACAGAATACTTATTTATTCTATGTAATTTAATCGTGTGTCTTCTTATGTAGTTTTGCATTTTTTTGTTTGTGTATTGCAGAGGGTTTTTTACACATTCACGTACAAGGTTACTTATCTGTCACAAAACTATATACATGTAAGTGGCCCAAATAGTTTAAAGAAAAGGTCTGTGCTCTCCTTGAAGAGAGAAGAAGAGAAGTTTCTGCTTAGTAAAAACAATAATAAAAGTGCCTTGGGACATAAAAATTGAAATAAACTAGCCATTTTTTAATATCATAATTGAAAAGGAATAATTGCTTTTAATATGATACTTGTTCTCATTTTTAATGCTTTTGAGACAGTGGTACAGACCTATTTTCCAAACATCTTTGCAGAGGAATTTCAGTGTGATCAAGATCTGTGTTCTTTATTATCCAGGGGACAAGAAGCAATTGTTGAAATCTCTTTTGAAAGCTCTCCGCAGTCTTCAGCTCTCCAGTGGTTTACTCCAGAGCAAACTTCTGGAAAGAAACACCCATTTCTCTTCAGCCAGTGCCAGGTTGAGTTCATTTTTTCCAAACTTGTTGACATACCACTGTAATTTCCCTTGCTTTCTAAAGAACTGAAGAGGAAGGCTAGAAAGGAGGAGAGCAGTAGCCTGTAACTTCCACTTGTATGTGTCAAAGGTCCTAAATGAGAACGCTTAAATGTCAGGGTACTGTTGAGATTTTATTATATATTCGCTGTTTGGTAATTCTGGAACTGCTTTACCCATTCCAGTATTTTTGCTGAAGAACATACAGTCCTTTACAACCAATATATGTGCCTATTGATCTGCCTTACCTACTATTGTTGCTTTTACAAATGCCTGTAAGGTCTAAGTGATAGAAGTATTGGTTTATAGATAATGAATTCTCTGGAGGAGCTGTATAGACTATAGTATATAGTGTACTCCACAATAGTGTATTAGTTAATTTCTTTCTAGTCCTCTGCATTAGAAAGACTTTTTATTGTTTCAATAATCTTACTTTTCCTTTCTCCATCTATAGGCTATCCACTGCAGAGCCATTTTTCCATGCCAAGACACACCTGCTGTGAAACTAACCTACTATGCAGAGGTAGATGAACCTAGTCATGTGTCTTAACTAAAGACAACTGCTACAATGGGTGAATTTATATTGGTCAGGGTTTTTTGGTAGCTGTCAGCATGTGGCCTAATATAAAAACAGAATATTGACTTTTAGCTTAATGTGAGAAGAAAGAACTGATCTTCCCTGTGGCATTTCTCTTACTTTACCACTTCCTTTTTGTACGTCTCAACAGTTTTGTCATTGATATGTCATTTCCACAGGAAAATAAAAGTGCAGTAGTAAGAAAGAAACACGGTGTAAAATCAGAAAAAGCTGACAGGAAGACAGCAAAGAGTGCTGTAAAGTAAAAAATACTTGAAATGGCTCTCATGTACGCTTTAAGTAATATATTCTGGTATATAGTTAGGGGATATTTGCAGTCCCGGTGTAAATTGTTTTAAGAAAGAAAAAAAGTAAGATGTGCACTGTGACATTACAATTCAGCTGTCTGAAGAAAGTGCGCCTCTAACTTCAGTTGGAGATACTCCTCTGATTAATTCTATATTGCCAGTCTTCAAGGCAACATTTTCTATATGCCTTATGTTCTACTTGACAGAGATGACCTAACAACAGAGCAAATCGGGGTTATTCTGTGTTATGAACTGCTTGTAGTATGGAGTGTAATGCTGAGTGGCAGCTGCATTGCTTATGGTTGGGTGCCCTTTCAGATATCCGTCCCAAAGGAGCTGGTGGCTCTGATGAGCGCTAATCGCGATGGAGAGGCGCCCGACCCAGAGGACAGCGCTCACAAGATTTACCGGTTCAGCCAGAACGTAAGTGCTCCAGGCTGGGAAATGGCTGCTTGAGTCTAATTCCTGACCTGTGCAGCTCACAGTCACCTCAGCTATGGTTTTGATGTCATCGATAAATCATATGACTCACAATGGGTCTTTGCCACTCCAGAAATACAAGGCATTATGGAACTTCATATTTTTTACTTCTTTACTGGTCTTTTTTGGCATTCCCAGAAAAGCCAAATTCAAATTTGAAAGCATTTCAATACTCAAAACTAGTCCTGTCAAAACCCTTTCTGTCTGCACTGATTCTTGGAAAATAGTGTAGATGCAAATAATATGGGAGCAAGTTTTGGAAAACAGATCCTGCAAATTTTAAGCTCACCAAGATCTAAGCAGTGAAACTCATTGTCAGAACCAATTTTTAGCTTGAAGTTAGGTAAATTCTGACAACTGATTTTAAAATTTTTATGAAAAAAACCTGAAAACTGGTTTCTATAAAAAGTATCTCCAGCCAATTAAAGACTACTATTCTCTGGAAGTTTTATTAAGTGGTGCAGCTGGTCTAATGATTCCACTGCTCATAAAGCAGCAGTCTTGATTTACTCTTCTGGCATTTTTGTTCTTGCAGATTTCTGAGTTACAGTTTGGTGTTTATGGGCTCTTCTGGTGAGCCCAGTTCATTTTGCTGAGCAAGCAGATAAAATTAACATGAGATTTGGGCTGTTGAGATTGAATGACTGCCAAGAGGGATGGGATGATGTGAGTGGAGGAGAGGGGGGGAGCCTACTCTGAGCTGCAACAGCTGTAAGGTTTGATTTGGCTGCTGCGCGAAACCTGAGAGAGGGAAAAACAGTTCTCTTACCTGTGAGTTCGTCAGTAGGCAGTCTCTGCCCTCTCTGGAACCAAAACATTTGCCACTCTCAGTCTAGTATAGAAGACTTCTGTATTGTGTGTAATCCAGAGCTGAATGTTATCTAGGAGTACACTGTTGATAAGCAGGTGGACCTGGACTAGAAACAACATTTAGTGTAATTGAAGTTATAATGCATTTAGCACAAAATATATAAATGAAAAAAGACAAACACATGAAAAAGGACACACACATTATCTGATATACGAGACCATGACACTGATTTGTCAGAAGAACTGTCTGTTTCCTTAGGTGAAAGAGTCAAATGCATCAAGCTCTTGGATATGTATGCAAGGTTACCTAAAACTACTTTTTCTTCTCCTGCATAGCCAGGCTGGAAAGAAGGGTAGTGGAGAGCAACCTCTAAAAATGAGTTGACAACACAACAGTCACTGAAATTTGAATCTCAAAATGTCAAAATAGCAAATTTGACATCAAAATGTGGGGGTCTATTTACAGTCTTTTAATAACTTGTCTATAGCATCAGTCAGTAGTATGTTGTCTCTTGGTCTTTTCGAGAATGTGTTCTGTGTGTTAGTAGATAAAATTAAAACATACATGATGATATGGGTATTTTAATAAACAATATTTAAATTATTTGTGGATAATAGTGGAATATAATTTTCTGAAATTTTGTCTCCAACTATTTATGATGTAAAGCCTCTCTTATTTAACATTGTTTAGTCAGATAAACTGGAACTTTGACAGGGATGGCTGTGTTATCCCCTTTTCTTTCCAGAGCACTTGGAGAAAGCAGTTCTCTATAAAAATACTTCAGTTAGGAGTTTTTTCATTAAAATAACAAATATTTAGAGTTTGTTTTAATTCCAAACATGGAAATCAAATGTATACATTTTTATTTTTCCTGAATCTTTTGTCTTTAATGTTTTTATAGCCATAAATATTCTTGTTTACTTCATTAAAGCTCTTCCTTCATCTTTTGTGTGATAAAATTACCCTTTATCTGGGCAGTGTCTCTTGACTTCTCTATCCATAAAATTTAATGGAACTGAAATGAAGATGGAAAACTGACTTTCGTTTGAAGAGAAACCAAACCAGCAGGAATTTTCTATGCAGAGGTTTTCAAACAGAGATGATGCTTACAGTTTTGTGGGTTTTGCCTGAAACATCTGTGAAGCAAGATCCTTTATCTGCATCCTGTAGATAAAGGAGTACCATTTGGGGAGAAAGAACAATGTTTTTGATAAAACAGTGCCTGCCTCTAAGCTAGGAAACTATGGAGGAAAGCATCTTTATTTGCATACCTTTGTTCTTCTCTGAGTCAGTAGTCTGATAACTGACATTACAATTAAGATTTCATTATTTTTCTCATGTTCTCCACCAGGTTCCCATACCTTGTTACTTGTTTGCTTTAGTGGTTGGAGCTTTAGAAAGTAGGTGAGTGAATCTATACAATGTATAAATACTAATAACCATAAGAAATCTTCAGAGTTTTTTTTTTTAAATTTGTTTCTTGATCTTATTTCTAGTTTTCAAGGGTCTTAGAGGTTCAGTTAACCAGTTTATTTGTATCAAACTGCATGTATCTTGATTTGCCCTTGAATAATTTTTTTAGTTTTGTAAATTAGAGAAACAACATAAAGAGTTTGGACCTAGAAAACCCCTTAGTGGTTACAATTTAGCACAAGGAATAGATATTTCTTAGGTAACAGATAAGCCTTGTCATGTACAACAGGCAGAAAAGTATTGCTTCAGCTTCATTTCTCATTGGCACAAGGCTGTGTTAATCTAGGCAACAATAATGCTGTTATATTAGGGCTTGATAGCATTTAAAAATCTTTAAGTGGTTTTCCTTTTCTTTTGTGCTGAATAATGCATGCATGTTGTTTGTTTTGTTTTGTAAGGCTTTGCTTTGTAAGGCTAAGCAGTGGAGAGGAAAAGCAGACAAAGATTCTCTGATGAGTTTCCTCTGCAATGTGGAGTTGCACAGTTACACACACGCTCTCTGTATTACTTTCCCATAGAAGTACTTCTGGTTTATATTGTCCTATTGGCATTTATTTTTATTTTCAACAGAAAGATTGGCCCAAGGACACTGGTGTGGGCTGAAAAGGAACTAGTGGATAAATCAGCCTATGAATTTTCTGAGGTGAGTAATTAATGACAACAAAAAAACCAACAAAAAACTATGTTGTTATAAAACAACTATTTCAAATAGTATTGGAAAAGAAACAGACTACTGTTCACTGTTTTGTTCATCTTTAGATCTCCTTTCTCTACCTCCCATCCCACAAAATGCTGCTGTTCTATTGCAGTACAAGCTTAGTACTGGAAATACCTATTGATACAGTCCCATACTTGTTTTACATGTGGGACTTGCCAAGGTGAAAAGGAATGAAGTATGGGATCAATAGCTTATTGTTTGTTCAGTGTTTGCAGTCAGAAATCATCTTCGAAACTAATGTGAATTCTTGTTCCAGGCTGAAGCTATGCTGAAAACAGCAGAAGATTTGGCAGGCCCTTATGTGTGGGGACAGTATGATTTGTTAGTGTTACCACCTTCTTTTCCCTATGGTGGTATGGAAAATCCTTGTCTTACTTTTGTAACTCCAACACTATTGGTAAGTATATCTGTGATAAAAGTCAGCTGTTCCTTGGGGCTTGCCTATCAATCAGGTGATGGATGTTAATGCACAAATTGGATTATTCTTCTTCCTAGAAAGACTTGTAAATGTTCCTGCCTCCTTTGGAGTTAGGGATCATACAAGAAACTGATTGAAGTGATCTATTTTGAGGTTGACTTGAACCTAACAACTAATTTGTCTTTCCCTTTTCTTTTTAGGCAGGTGATCGATCTCTATCAAACGTAAGTCAAAAATAGGTTCATCCCCTCAAGTATAACACAGCTTGAAATTGTACCTGAATTCCTTTAAATACCTTAAAACTTGGTATCTTTTCATCGGGGAAATTAAAAGTTAAGGCAGTAACTCAAAAACTCTTACAAAAGTGTGTGTTAGTTTTAAGTAAACTTTGTAAAACTGCAGACATACCTAGTTTGTATAATGGACAGATGGAAATAACATGGGTGCCTGTGGACATAGGGGGCTGACTGAGGTTAGCTGCTCCATGACTCTTTTCCCATGTTGTTAAACCACAACACCTGTATATAGATGTGCTCAAAAATCACAGCTGAATTGGCCTCATTGAAGTTGTTAGAAGATAACTTCTTCCTCTGTGTGCCTGTGCACTGAAACTCATATACAAATTTCTTCAGAGTGGAAATAATGAGTACAATTTGAGTAAATACTTTTTTTTTTTCCTACGAAGTAGAATACTCTGAATGCAATTTTATTGCCTATGTCATTTTACTAGACTGATGTACTGCTATGCTTAAAAAAAAAAAGATTTTCTTAAACCAAGAATACTGTAATATTTGACATGGATACTTTTTAATGTATCATGCATCATTAGCTTTCTCACTGCAGAAGTTGCTTAGGTGGGAAAGCAGTACTAGTCCATCACTTGCTATTCTGTATTCTGAAATGTGATTTTATAAACAAGTCGCCTCCGCCAAGCTGCCAGAGAAATTATTTCTGTTGATCAGTATGGCTCTATGGCTTGCAGAATGGACATTGAAAATCGTTTCTATCAGCTAGGGTAGTGTTGCTCCTCTGCTTAAAATTTATATGGATAGGTCTACAGAACTGTGAATGCCAACTGACTTTGTGGACATAACATCATAGTAAATGAGATCACATGAACATTTTATTCTTTCTATTGGGATTTGATTTTTTTTTTTCCAGAGGAATCTAAATGGTGGATTTGGTTTTGTGTTTTAGGTTATTGCACATGAAATCTCTCATAGCTGGACAGGAAACTTGGTAACCAACAAAACATGGGAGCATTTTTGGTAGGTATGATGTTCAATGCAGTGCAAATAATATTTTAAATTTAATCTGTAAAGAGACTGACTGAATTCATTTTGCCATCAAACCAGTGCTGACTTCACCAATGTCTTTCCAGGCTGAACGAGGGTCATACTGTGTACCTGGAACGCAGGATTGGTGGTCGGTTGTTTGGTGAGCAGTTCAGGCACTTTCAGGCCCTAGGAGGTTGGCGAGAGCTGCAGAATACGGTAAAGAGTATTGAAGTTATGAAGTATTATGTGATAAAGTGTTACAGTTATCATTTCCTACAAATAAAATTTGTCTAGTCAGCTTCCCTAATGCTTTCTTAATAGAGGATAAACAACTTTGATTCCAGGGTGTTTGATTGCTACCCGAGGTAATAGCTTAATATACTCAGATTAGATAAAGCTTTCTGAATTGTTTTACGCTTTTCTATAAGGATGAGCATCTTTACAGCCTCTTCTGGTTGTTCTGGATATGGCTAAATTACAGTATTACCTGTTAGCATACTGGTAAGCAGCTGAAAGTTTATCAAAATTATCTATAGCCATTACCATCAGAATTTCCAGTGCCTCATGCAAGCAACTGATTTCTTACTGTCTAAGGGGGTTGTTTAGTTTTCTGTTTTGGTAGCATAGTCAAATTTTAGCTTTCAAATTTCTAGTCTGTGATATCTTACTAGTTTCCTGAGCAGCCTGAAGTCTGTTCTGCTCATATCCAGAGCTGAAGTTTTGCTGACACTTCTCCTTCTGTCAACAGATGATTGATTTAAATTTAAAGGCTTAATGATGAAGTTTAAATAGTTTGTTAATAAGAGGATAAATATAGCCAGACTAATAGGTACTCATGGTTATGACAGACATGATAGTAATTAACTACTTTGAGACAGCTGGAGCACAGGATGGTTGACTCTAAATTTTAGTAATTTAATGTTTGTGCAGATTCAGAACTTCAGGAGAAAGAAGGAGAATGCTTTGAAATAAATCTGTCTCAGTTTTGGATGGTTTATACCTTTATAAACAGAACTAGTACAGATCTGCAGGAGTGCCAGTTTTCCTAGATTAATATTTTTTTTGTGTCTTTGACAGATAAATACTCTTGGAGATAAAAATCCTGTAACTAACCTCGTCATTAATCTGGATGAAGTAGATCCTGATGTTGCCTATTCATCTGTGCCATATGAGAAAGGCTTTGCTTTGCTTTTTTACCTTGAACAGCTCCTTGGAGGACCAGGTAAGCATTAGTCTGATTTTATGTCTTTGTTTTCCACCTTAATTTCAAACACTAAAACATTTTCTTTTTTGCTAGATGTCTTCATTGGCTTCTTAAAGGCCTATGTTCAGCACTTTGCTTATAAGAGCATTGTAACAGAGGACTGGAAGAAGTTCTTATACTCCTACTTCAAGGATAAGGTTGGGTAATATTTAAAACAGACTGCTTGAAACCTTTTAATTATGTGAAATTATGACTTAGGTCAGAACTTATTTAAAGACGAGTTCTTTATATTTCTTTATTTCAAGAACTTAATATGAAGTAATTTGGCATCTTATGAAAATGGGTTTGCATTATGATGTCTTTTAATTTTTTTTCTTTTCATAGAGGGGAATGCTTTGTTTTGAAGTAATCTGTGTAGGATTCTTCAGGATAATTGGAGGAATGTTATCAAAACAAAGAGATTGAAACTAGATTTCACTTTCTCAAAAAGAAATAAAATCCTGAAATCACATTTAAAATTTAATAAGACTTTGTGTTGTTTTGTAGGTAGATATTCTTGATAAAGTTGACTGGGACTCGTGGTTTCATGCTCCAGGAATGCCACCAGTGAAGCCTACGTAAGCTTGCACTCTTTTGTAGTTCATCTCTTCCTTCTCCAGATTGCATGTGATTTTCCTAAGTCATAAAGCAGTTTGTAACCAGGGTAAAAGTCTTATAAATTTTTCATTGGAAAATGCTCTAGTACTATGTAGGTGTACATAGCAGTAAAAATAGTCGCTTTTAATGTTTTCAGTCTTTTATTCTGTGGCTATTTCATTATGTGAACCCTTGTTTTTACTATTTGACAGGTATGATATGACACTATCAAATGCTTGTGTTGCCTTGAGCCAAAGATGGATCCAAGTGAGTGGTTAAAGAATGTGGAAGTGTCTCTATCTTGAAAAGCTAATTCTTTTTGTTACACAAAGTGAGCCATTCTTTTCTGAAGTCTCTCGTTTGTTCAGAGTGTGTATTTATAGTCACAGTATGACTGCCAGGGATTTTGCATTTCTTAGACTAGACCTTCATCGTAGAGTCAGGGGATTAGCTGTGACTCCTGTCTGTGAAGTGCAGTCCATATTTTAACAAGACACAGAGCCAACTTCTTTTATACATATGTAGTAACCAAACAGAAAATACTTTTTGAAACCCTGATGTTATGGCTTGGTTTAAAAACAAATGCCAGGATACCTCTACATTATTGATTATATTGTATTAGCAGTACTTCCTCTATGGTATACTGGATGTAGTTTGCATTTCCCATCAAAAACTGGTACATAAAGTATATTAATTAATACCACATAATTTTCTCCTAATTTGAAGCATAAGTCATACAACTAATAGAGAATTCAGCATACCTTCCTTTTGTTATCTCTTTGTCTTTACACTTTACTTGACATCCTATCTTTTTACTTTCTTCTTTTGAATGTTACTTTTTATAAAAAAAACATTTGATTGCTCACTAACAGAAAGACAGTGGAGATAAAAAGATCAGTGGAGAGAAAATAAGTGAATACAAACATCAGACAGCAGCTTAAGCTCCCTTCCTTCCCCTAATTGTAACATCCTGCACAGATACAAATCAGTATCTTCTCTAAGTGAAGTGGCTCAACAGTAAGAGTGGATGTCAAAACAGAAAATTACACGGGATTGTATTTTGAAATACCTATTAAAAATTAAGTAACTGTTCTCTTTTAGGCAAAAGAAAGTGATTTGGGCTCATTCAGCTCAGCAGACCTGAAGGAAATGTCATCTCATCAGTTAATTGAGTTCCTGGCACTGTTGCTTCTGGAGGTAAATGCACACGTGGGATGACTTGATTCTGGTGTCAAAAAAGCAGACATAGAAGCTCTACTATGTTTTGAAATTAAGTTACTCTTTTTCTTTTAAGTTTTGCTAAATTAATCTGCTCTCACCATGTATATTTATTGAAACCTTCAGCCTTCCCTCCCTTACTATGTCTGGCTCTTCAGCTAATGAACAACATATGAAATATTTTGGATTGAAAGCTAAAAACAAAACCACGAGGTGCTTGAATTGGTCATTATTGGATGTTCTAGAAAATAAGCTATAAATAAAATTGAACAATTTTATTGTTCATATTTGAATTGTTTCAATAGTACAGAGTGTGGGAATTAGGTAATACTTATTCCTTGCCCCTTTCCATACACGGAAGAGATGAAAGGAATAAATACAATCTTTGTCATGGTAGGACTTCCGTTTCTTTGCAACATCAGTCTTCTTGAGTTACTCTGTTTATTATTTAAATGTCTGGCTTGAAGTCTTCCTTTGGCTTATTCTGACTGCAATTTCTTTTTCAGGCACCTCTTCCATTGTCACATGTCCAGCGCATGCAGGAAGTTTATGACTTCAATGCTATCAACAACTCTGAAATAAGATTCAGGTTTGTTCTAATATGGGAACTTTGAAAATCTTAAATGTTTTCATAAAACAAGGTGTCCTGCTTTGCCTGAGACATCCTGTTTTACAGAACTGGGGCAGGGTTTGGGTTTGGGGTTTTTGTTGTTGTGGTTTTGCAAACACATGTGCGGGCATGATGCTTACCAGAGTGGTATTCTGTTATTCATGAACTGGGCAAATACAGTCTAGTAGAACTCAGACAGCAGATAAGCTGTTCTTTATTTTAATCTGGCATGCTATAAAATGAACCTGATGACCTGATAACGAAGTATTTTAAACATATACTGTATGTTCTCTACTTCTTGTAACAAGATAAATTTATTTTTAAAACAAAATAAGCACATTCAAGTATCTGGGGACGTTTCATTTGGTTGGTTGTTTGTGTTATCCATTGGTAAAATGAGACAAGTGCTGTATAATTCAGTTTGGAGTGATGCAACTGGACACTATTGTAATATAAAAAAATACATAGCTGAAGAAAATAATCTTCCATTTTGGAAGAATTTGGCTGCAATCTTTTCCTGTTGTACAAAAAAGTTGATGTTCGTAACGTGTTAGTCAAACACTAAATATTTTATGTTGAATTTAGCTAGAATCTCATTCCCATGATCATGTAGCAGTGCTCAAAGCATTTGTAGGAACTGAATTGTTAGATAACCAACCACCACACTACCACAAATGGAATTACAAGTGCAAATTTTTTCTTACACCTCCAGATGGCTGCGCCTCTGTATCAGGTCCAAGTGGGAAGAAGCTATTCCTCTGGCATTAAAAATGGCAACAGATCAGGGCAGGATGAAGTTTACTCGACCATTGTTCAGGTAAAAGTAATCTCCAAAATGCAGGAGCTCATGCTGTTGCATTTCTAGTATAATGGAATGTATAATACTTGAAATGCATTTATTGCACATGTTGAAGTGGCACAATACAGGATTCTCTGCATACTGTGAACAAACTTATCTTCGGAGCCGCTTTCCACTTACGGACATTTTTTTGAATAGAAGAAAGCTTAGTCCTAGAATGCACCTTAAGGCAAGGCCTTTAAGGGAAAAGTAAAACCTCAGGAAAATCCCTGTTGTATTATTTTCTTGGATTTTTGTAATCATGCCTCCCCCCACTCCTTCTTTTACAGAGACCTTTACAGTTTTGACAAGAGTCGAGATCTGGCTGTCAAGACATTTCTGGAGCATAGAGCCTCTATGCACCCTGTCACTTCAATGCTTGTGGGCAAAGACTTGAAGCAGGACAAGTGACAAATGTACTAATTTCTCTGAGATTTTTGTGTTGCTGAAAGAAGAGACTGATTGCCCAAACCATTGATATGCGTGCTTGATTATGTCATAAAATGCTCTGCTGTTTTAGTACTTATGTAACTTAAAATTAATTTTCCAAATCAAGTTCAGTACTTTCTATTTTGCATTTCCAACTAAAGCAGCAAAATTGCTACATCTCTGGAACTGAATGTTTTCATTACAAGCAACTTTTAGAATATACAAAAACTGTTCTGAGATGCGGTCATTTGTCAGTGATAGAATTGAAGAACTTGGAAAATTAACTGGTGGATGGTATGGCTCTTTGTGCACAACACTCTTTTCCATAGCACAGTGGTTGAAACTTCAAGTACCTAAAGAATAAAACATAAATCTTTTCGTTCCCTACTTGTCTGTCTTGTCTGTGTATTGATCTGTACAAGAGGTTTTGATTTAATTGGTTTGTTCTATTTATTCTTTGTTGTGGGAGGAATTTTTATTATGAGTCCAAGAGGACAATGAAGACCGAAATGGTTTTTCAACCCACTATTTTTAAAACTTATTATTGCAGGGGGGGCTGAAGCCCAAGTCTTTCCTTACGCAGTTAGATTCTTTTAATATTTGGATTTTTTTAACCAGTTCTGGGCACTACCCCTCATGCTCATATAACAACTGGAGGGAAGTTCAAAAACCATGGGAGAGCTCTTTTTACTGCATTTGTTACAGCAATTCCAGGCAATGGTTTAGATGATGCTGTGGCAAATGCTGCCATCTCTAGGCTGGGTCTTGCAGTGAATTTGGTAAGAACTGCATTTCCTGCAGATGATCAGTTTGCATAAATTAAATCTGTTGACACAGGGATAACCTATATAGGAGTGACAAACAAAACCAAAAAGTGCTGCCTTAGGGGAGGAGAGTAGCAATATAATATAAAAAGGCTTAGCTTCATTCTGGCACTTAGGATGAGGGGGGAGCCTGTCAGCTCATTTACTTCCAAGTTTTGATCCGTATAAGCTTTCAGCTTGTGATTTCAACCCAGGCAGTAACTAATCCCCACACAGCCACTCACTCTCTCCCTTGTGGGATGGGGGAGAGAATTGGAAGAGTAAAAGTGAGGAAACTCATGGGTTGAGATAAAGACAGTTTATTAGAGCAAGAGCTGTGCACACAAGCAAAGCCATACAAGGAATTCATTCACTGCTTCCCATGGGTAGACAAGTGTTCAGCCATTTCTAGGAGAGCAGGGCTTCCCATGGAGACAGATGACATCACTCCAAATGTCCCTCTGCTTCCTTTTGCCCCCAGCTCTATATGTGAGCATGAGCTCTGGTCAGAGGAGGGGACATCTGATGTTAGCAGGCTCTGGTTTGAGTTTTCAGATTGCAATGAAAACTGTCCTTTGTTTATAAACACCTTATGTCACTAGCTTTGGGGTAAGTTGCATTTTGTTGTAAAAACCCATGTATTGTATACAGTCCTTTGGCAGTTAAGAGTTCCTGTTGCCAGATAATCCTGATTTCTTGCTGTCAGAGTCAGAAAAAAGAAAATTGTGTCGGCATGGGTTTCTCTAGCACAGTCCTAGGTAGCTCTGCTGCGACAGTGTCTTCCACCAAAAGATCCCAAGTTAACATTCCCTACAGTAATTAAACGCCAGGTGTAGTCCCTTTTAGGAACACTAGTGTGGGGAGCATGGGCAATGAGTGCTGTTACCGTTCTACCTTTAAAACAAGAGGTATTTTCAGATTCTATGTGTACATGGTTATTTCTATATTTTGTTTTGGCACCATCTCAATAGCTATCTCCATATATTTTCCTCTTTGCATCTGCAAAGGAAGCATGACACAGCAGCATCAGTGTGTATCGATAGTGTGATAATGTGCACTTGTGGCCTAGTATTTGTTGGTACCTGTTCTAATAACATCTTCCAGAGCATAAGGGAAAAGGTTGTAGAAATTAGTTTATCTTTTTCTTACCTACAATAAACAATTATGTTTTCAAACTTGAGTGTGGGACCAATCAAAGCCGGATTGCTGCCTCTACTACCTGCTTTTATCCTGTTCTGGATAGAGCTGTAAAAGCATAATACAATCTTCTCTCAGTCCTAGCAGCCATGAGCAACCCATATTCCCAAGGTGCCTCTCTTGCAGTCCTGTCCCTTGTGGAGGTTTTGTTAGTGTGTTTTACTGCACATAACAGGCAATAGCTTTTAACTCTTGTTAAATCCTTACATTTTTAGAACAATTGCTCTGCATCTTAGTCTATTATCTATTCCTGGTACATAAGCTTCAGTTCCTAGTTTTCCATTTCCATATTCCTGATGTGATCTTTGGAATAAAATTGCAGTGGCAATAGCTGGGGGATGTGCGTTTCTGTGAAAAGGGTGTGTTCCCTGGGTTTGGTTTGATTGGACGAAGTCAGACAAACACGTTGATCTAGTTTATTTACAAAGATGAGGATTTTGAGGGTGGGTTTTTCCCTCTGATTGCAACACTGGGCTCTAGATAGGCGCAGCACTTCAGGCCATCGCGTGGTAAATGTGAGGCTGCTGCACGCTGCAGACCTTCTTGGTCAAGGAGCAATTTTTGGAGAGAAAGCATGCCGAGGTACACGGTGCACGTCCGAGGAGAATGGCTGGCAGTGCCGTGCCTAAGCTCCACGAACACCATTGAGTGGCTGGGAAAGGAAGCTGTGAGACGGTACATGAAAAACAAACCTGACAACGGGGGATTTGCCTCAGTGGAAGAAGTAAAGTTTTACATTCGAAGGTGCAAGGGACTTGGCTTGCTGGATCTTGATGATACCGTGGGGGATGCTCTAGAGGACAATGAATTTGTTGAAGTTGGTAAGCAAAGCCTCAAACATCAGACTGTAGAGTGACTGTGTTGTCATCTGAGTCAGCAAATTGTGGCTTTATCTAGATTCATCTAAAATTGCACCTGAGAGATTGTGTACAGTCTTATATGGAAAAATACCCAATAATTTAAAAATATTTAATTTTTAGGAACAGAACTACATAAAAGTTAGAAGGTACAGGATTCTATATACATCTTCTGTATCTGCTGTCATATATAGTGTAAGCTGTTCTGTCTTAGCCTTTGAAATACCTTAAATAAATACATACTTCCTTGTTATTTTCCCAGAAGCATGCAAGTATGTTCAGGGCTGATAACTGGAAACTAGAATTCTTATTGCTGTGAATTGTAATAAATAACAAATTAATTTATGTGAAGAATGCAATTTAATCCTGTATGTGTTAATTCTGCATATTTCTTCTAGTTATAGAAGGAGATATAATGTCTCCAGATTTCATACCATCTCAGCCAGAAGGAGTTCATTTGTATCCTTTTTGAGTGCTTTGTGAAGTTTTTACAATTACAGATTTATAGTTTTCTAGATTGCCTGCATTTTTTAGAATTCCTTTATTATTAGAACACATTGCCAGCTGTAACTGAGTGGTCACTGCCTGTGAAATCCTGTCTGCTCTTTTCCTTTACAAAACTTTCAGATACAGCAAATACCGAGAACCAGAACAGGTAGGAATCACCAATGATTTTATAACTCAGTAACAAATCCTGCTACTCACCAGAAAATGCTGAGAGTTCAGCCAGTGCAGTATTCACAAAAGCAGGGGCTATTAGATTGGCTGGGTATAGGAAACTAAGCTGCAATGTGCTTATTATGTTTTTGTTACCCAGCTTCCTGTATTATGAATAAGCATGAAAAAGCTTCCTGTCATTGCTGAGTTTTGGCTGTATTTTTTATTTATACTGATTTTTCAACAACTTTGTATGTATCCATATCCCAAACTAAAAGGTGGTTCTTTGGTGTAGTATATTTCTTTAGATGGCAACAGCTTAACAACGGAGGACTTGGTCAATTTAGGAAAGGGACTCTACAAGATAAAGGTAAAAATTCTGAACAAATGCCTCTAAAAATTACATGTTAATTTTTCTGCAGCTAAATAATGACAAACAAGCTAATATTTAAACTACTTATGTTTTAGCTCACAGCCGAAGCTGAAGCTAAAGTCAAAGAATCCCGAGAAGTGATTGAAAGGATTGTAAAGGAACAGACAGGTAAATATTTTTGCTTTTAACTATTACTTGTTTAGAAGACTTCATCAAGTTCTCTCCTTAATGAGCAGTGTGCATTTCTTGCAGTTGTTTATGGAATCACCACGGGTTTTGGAAAGTTTGCCAGGACTGTAATCCCAAACAGCAAACTGAGGTATGTTCTGTGTGCAGCCTTCTCTGTCCTTTCTTTTCAGGAAAGGAAGGGCAGGGAGCAGTTCCACCCTGTAGCTGGGGTTAAATGAGAGAGCTGCTTCAGGAATTCCTTCTGTTTTGTGCAAAATAAAAACCTGATGAGACCTTTTTGAGGTTTAACTTTTTTCTTTTTTTATTCTGTAGGGAGCTTCAAGTGAACTTGGTTCGTTCACATTCTGCAGGTAATGAGAGATTGCTTGTTGTTTCCCTTTTCTGCCCTTGTTGGTAGTGGGGGAGTAACCGAGAGGGTTCCGTTACTCTTTCAGGTGTGGGGAAACCTTTGACCCCAGAGAGAACTCGCATGCTGTTGGCACTGAGAATCAATGTCCTAGCCAAAGGATACAGTGGAATATCCCTAGAAACCCTCGAGCAAGTTATTGAAGTGTTTAATGGTAAAAAGATGTTTAAAGAAAATCTTCCTTTCCCTTTTTTTTCTTTTTAACTGTTTTGTTAAAGGGTGTAGCTCAATGGGTCAAGATGCAGATGGTGGTTTTTCAGCCTGGTAGTTGTGAGAGATCAGGACTAGAACTGCAATAAGAGTAGTCCTATTGGCACCATTGTCCATGATTGTAGGCTGTTACTGTGACCACACTTATGAGCTGGCTTCTTGGTTTTCCAAGGAGTGTATCAAGGGAAGGCTCTAAAATTATTTGTTTTCTTTCTAGCATCCTGCCTTCCTTATATCCCAGAGAAAGGGACAGTTGGAGCCAGCGGAGACTTGGCCCCTCTCTCTCATCTTGCTCTGGGATTAATTGGAGAGGGAAAGATGTGGTCCCCGAAGAGTGGCTGGGCTGATGCTAAATATGTAAGATTTGTGCACCTGATAGTTTGGGGGGTTTATGCATGCTGATTCATTTTTCCAACTGCATGTAGCTTTGAGAGAAAGAGAACTTTTGCTCTTGTAAAAGTCTTTGGATTTTTTCTACCAGTTTGAATTAGGACTAGATTGCCTCTAGCTACTCATCGTCTGATTTGAGGAAGGTGCATCCATGGAGAATGCAAGAACTGACCCACATGTTACTGGAGCAGACACAAATAAACAATATGTTATTGAGCCTTAAAGAAATATCATGCCATAGTACTGCTATACAGGATATCACAAGGACATCATTGATGAACTGGAGAAAGGGACAGGATATGATA